AATTTTTCCAAAATTAAATACATTAAACAATATAAAATGCTAAGTCCAAGGGAAAGAATATATAAGGAGCTAAAAAGTAGAAGATATCTCTATAAATTTATTAAAAAAAATACAAGTTTTAAGTCAACTAAAAATTAGACAATTAAATAGTATATAAGTGGAGAGTAATCATTCTCTTATAAGTCAGTTTTGTATGATTGAATTAGACTCAAATCTATTATTCTAAGATGATATCAAAATTATCTTAAATCCTTAAAAATGACCACTTATCCTAGATGTCATCCACACCATTTATCCATTCCAATAGTATGACACGTGAAGGGGTATATTGAAAAAAATTCAAGTTCAAAATTCTAAAAAAAAATTCTTTGATACATTTTTGTTTGGCCCTTAATGGCAGAGCCATTTTCCCAGTTAGTATTTTTTGGCATTAGAAACCATGTTTGCGAACTATGTATACACTTCACAAGTAGAAGTGTATTTGTTTTTTGCTGGGTGATAAAAAGAAAGAGAAAGACACTTGCTTGTAACATTAAAGAACTGTTATCATTATTTGGTGCTAAAACAAGCTAACTAGAACTTGCACTAAAAAAAAAAAAATACTGCCGAAAGCATATTCTTTACGCACAAAAGAAACAAAATACTGCCGAAAGCATCTTCTTTACAAAGATATATATACTTGTGTCCACACACACAGACGCTTTAGGTTTATAGTTTTCTAAGTAATTATTATTATTATTATTATTATTAGGAGGACGAGATATTTCATATTTTTATATTTATTTAAAGGTATTTAAGAATTATTAAATTAATTAGTATTATATTTAGTCTTTAAACTTTAAGATTTTAAATTTAGAAAAATAGTTAATTTTTATTTTATTTTTTATTATTTAAAAATTTAAGATTAAAATAATTCAAAAATTATATACATGAAAACATAGAATCGTTTTATATATAGGTATCGATTAATAATGTAAATTATCTCATTTGATATTGATGTTCACATTTACATTTTCTTGAACAATTTTATCTTTAAAATTATTATTTAAACTATTCCTTATTTTTCTCTATAATTTTTTTTATAAAAAAATTACCCTTATAACTACTAATGAGGTCTATCTCTTTAAATTTTGTTTAAAAGTAATATAAAATAAAAATAATAGAAATTATAATATATAAATCAAATGAAATAATGGATAATTAAAAAAAATAAAATAATTTTAAACAAAAATAGAGACAAACAAGATTACAAAATAAGTTGATATTTATTTTTGATAAAGTGAACAATTAATTTTTTTATACATATATATTTTTTTCTGTTTTACCCTTAATAGATGAAAAAAATAATTTATTATAAAGTGCTATAAATATTTAAAAAAATGTGAAAATAAAAAATGATATCCTATATATAGTATATATAACTATTCAAAAATTATTCACACACTCGTTTTTATCCACTTACTTTTATACATGAAAGCACTATTAAAATAAAATAAACCTGAGATGACAGACAAAACATATTTTAATATTTATGTACTTTAAGGTTGTTATAAAAAAATTCGCTGAGCAATATAACTGAAGACTATGATTTGCTGCTTGAGAACGGTTTGTAACCAATTCAAATTTATTAATCAAAATATCTAAGATATTTATTTATTTTTTAAAATTATTATCTCATTATTAAAATATTATCTTTATTTTGGAGATTTTTTAATTTATAATTCTTATATATAAAATACAATGACTATTTTAGGTGGAAGTGTTTTAAAAGTAATTTTTTTAGAAATTCTTTCAATTTCATATTTAATAGGTTTTGTTTATTATAATTATTTGAGCTAAATTTTAATATTTTTAAAGTAAATTATTTATAAATAAAAATCATTTTATACTACAATATAAATTATTTATCATAAATCTAAAATGAGGAGATTTCAAATATATCATTATAACTTTTACTAATTAATTATTACACTACTCAATAACTTTTAATTAAATATAAATTTGTTAAAACTTACCTTTAGATTAAAAGTTTCTTACTCCTAGATCATATATATATAATTCTATATTAATTTAAAATGATTTGATATCCCATTTTTATAGAACAAAATTGAAGTAATATATACATTTCAAAATATATTAAAATATGAACACTTTGATTACCTTCAACTTATTGTTCAATTTTAACAAAATTTGATATAAACATATAACTATACAAGGTGATACGAAATTATAATTCAATGTTTGTATCGACAAAATTCACATTTAATGTAAAATTATTGAGTAATGTAATAATTGATAAATGTTATAGTAGTGTCAGTTGAACCCTCCTCATTTAAAATATAATTTTATATATTCAAATATAGTATTTATTTATATACAATTTAAATTTTAGTTATATATAATAAATATTTTATCTGTGCATTACGATACTGAAATACTAGTTAT